TAGTAATGATGAAATATTTATTTATATTTATTTTATTTATAGTGAATCAGAATATTCTTTAGTGTCAAGGAATAAGTCAAAATTTTATCTGGAAATGAGGGAAAAGTCCGAGAAAAAGAAAATTAAATTTTTAAACCCTGTTAAAATGATTTTAAACTTAAAAATGATGTATTTTTGATTTTTGTTATAAGCCCTAAAAATAAATTGCAAGGAAAAGATTTAATTTTTAGAAACTTTGACAGTTATATATTTGAATACGTGCGGGGTAAGTTCTGAATTTAATAGTTTCAGTCAGGTGGCAATTAAAGCAACGCGATGGTACTCTGAAAATGGTGGTAGTTTCCGTTAATTGTGCAAATTACACAAAGGGCAAAAGAAAAAAAAAAAAAAAAAAAACTCGAGAATATTGCGTAACGGACAAAAAACGATAATTCCAAGATATATAAGTCGGAAATCGGATTAGTTTCTTTTTTTTCCCGTATTTTCCCGAATGGAATTGAACAAGCTTTGAGGATTGTTGTCTTTTTGGAGAACGCGGGCTTTGATTATCAACAGTTTGCAGTAATGAAGGAGACAGTAAAAAGAGAAGTTTTTATCAGCTTTGGGGAAGTGGAGCGTGACCTCACTTCCAACTCTTGCTTTGCGGAACGATTATGTTCAATAATTCTTTATTATTATACATCGACAATGCTTTTATAAGTTTCCACTCCTTTTTCTCTCTCTCTCTTTTTTCTCTCTTTCTCAGTTTTTCTTTCTTTATCACAAACAATAAATTAGATTTTTAAAAACATTACAATTTACAAATTATCAAATCGTGGAATAAGAAAAAAAAAAATGATATCAGAATACAATGGGAGAATATTTATTATCGGGAATTTTCTTTTTTCTCAATTCTTTTTTTATCAATCAAACGTCATTCCAGGCGATTGCAAAATTGCGGATTGCCTCGTCCTATGACGAAATTCCATTCACTTAATTCTACCATTAAAAGTCTGTAATTTTATACTCGCAATACTCGTAGTTCTTGAAATTGTTTCTTGTCTCAATTTTTGTCGGTTCTTTTTTTCATTTATATTATATTACGAAATATTATTCACTTGTGTACATAATTTATCTTATTTGCAAAATTTTTAATTTTAAGGCAAAAATATTTTATTTATTATTATTTTATTACCTACTATCTATAATAATAAAAATAATAATTATAATTTTTTTTCCATATAATTTTTGTTACCCTTATTATTATTATTATTTTATTATTTATTATTATTATTTTCATTATTCATTCAAGTTCAAGTTGCTGTTAGAAATATCTTTGCGATTTATATACGAGTTTAAATAATTAAATTTAAAGAAAAAATTTAAGAAAAATTGTTTTTTAAAAAATGAAGAATTCTCATCAAATTTCAAGAAGCAAATTTTGTTGGGGAATAATTTTATTAAATGTATATAAAAAATGTCGAAGTGGCAGTAAAAGTTTAATTTTTCAGGATGTAATAATTTGAATCCGGATCTTTTTCGCGGATTCTCGTTTTTCTTTCTGTTTTTTTTTCTTTTCTTTTTCTTTTTTGACCCTTATTTCTGTGCTTTGTACAAAAAGTCAAACCAGAATGTTAAAACGTGTAACCGAGAACTCGTAACGACGACTTATGAACGTAAAGCCGGTAAATCCTCTTTAATAGGCTTCTCTCCTCCAACAGACTGTCTCAGTTAACTTTGTAATTTCTCAAGGTCGCTTGATGAACTATACTTAATTATATGTCATCTTTTATTGCACTTCTCGATACTTATATACCGTCCAAAGTAATTTAATAGCATCTTCGCTGCGCAGGAACTGACATTTATTGTTAAATATTCAATTCCTGTGCGGGATGCTAATTGAAACAAATTGGATTTTACACTTTTTTTTCTCAAATAATTCAAATCATTCTTTTTTTTTTTTAAATACAAATCACAATTTTCGACGAAAAATTTAACGATAATAATAGTAATAAAAATAATATATTTTTTATTTTCTTGTAAAACAAAAAAATACAGAAGAAAATAATAATAAAAATATATAGAAAATAGAAAATAGAAAATTTTTTAATTTTCAAAAACGGGAAATGCAATAAAGAACCGAGTTGCTATTCTCATAATGAGAAGTGAAAGTGAGTCAAGCGAAACTTGCCCTTTATCAAATTTACCTTAGAAATTTCTAGGTCCAGTGATTTGAGTTTGAAATTCATCGGAAGGGATGTTTCATTAAAGTAACAAGTTTATCGCGACAATTCATGTTTGCTGAAAAAATTTTTTTTCTCCTTTTCTTGACTCACTTCTCGTTTTTCCTCTTTTCCTCTCGATTTGCATAAAAAAGTGAAATTTTTATTATACGCTTCAAAATAATGAAAATTTTCATAACTAATTTTATTATATTTGACTACTTTTTTAGTTAAACTTTCAATTTTACAAAACTACTTTCAATTGTTTACTATTTTAATTACTTTCAATTTCAAAATAAATTCCTTTAAATTACTTTTAATTTTTTTACTTTCTTAGTTGCTTGTTAACTAATAATTAGTAATTTCTAGTTTTCTACTTTTAATATTTTTTTCAATTTAAAAATAAATTACTTTCAATTTTTTTACTTTCTCAGTTTTTCTATTAACTAATAATTAGTTATTTTCTAGTTTTCTACTAATAGTTAATTATTTATTTATTTATACAAATAATCAGTGTTTTTCTACTAATAATTAGCAGTAGTACTCTATTCATTTCACTTCGTTTGTGAGAGAACTTTCATACCATCTAGGCGGGAATTTAAACAACTTTTAGGCGCGAAATTCAAAAAAGAAAAAATTCAATTCATGATAAATTAATAGTAATAACTAATTTATATAAAAAAAGCAAAATTGAAAATTCAAACCAAAAATAGTGTCAAAAATTCGTAAGGACGAAAATATTGTTTCCTAATGTTCTAAAATAATAAACAAATTTTTTTTTGCTCTTGAAAAAATAATGATTGACGCGATCAACTCCCACGCAATATATATATATATGAACCTTACGCCTTTGTCAGAAACGAACAACATTCCAGAAGGTACTAAAATCCCCTGACGATCGTTTCTTCTGCACGTGGTAATCGTACAATGAAACGCAATGGATGGAAAAATGTAGTTTCGCGTTGACCTTGCATTGATTTACGCTGTTCCATCTTTCCAGGAAAGTTTTACAATACCGCGAAAGAGAAGGAGAGAGAGAGAGAGAGAGAGAGAGAAAAAGAGATAAATTTTTCAAAATTGTAATTTCGATTCTCCGTTTTTAAATTATACTGTCAAGACAACTTCAATGATAAAAATTAATATTTATTATATTAATATAAAGAAAGGGTGATTTTTAATTTTCTATGTCCTTTGATATACTAAATAAGTAAATAAATAATTTAAATAAATAAATACGTTGATACTAAATATGTAAATAAATAATTTAAATAAATATATACGTTGATACTAAATAAAATAAAAAAATAAAATAAATACGTTGACACTAAATAAGTAAATAAAGAATATATGAATAAAATAAAAAATTAATAAACAAAATATTAAAAAGCTAAAATATGAAAAAAGTAAAAAAAAATAAAGAAAGAACTAAAAAGTTAAAAAATATGAAAATCAAACAGTAAAAGCACATTTGAAAAAATAGGTAAATAATAAATATAAAGAACGAATAAAAATAGAAATAAATAAAAATAATAATAAAAAAATTGAATACAAATGTATTACAATGAACAATTAAATGTTTACTTTCCCGAACAAAGAAGAACAAAAAAAAAATACATTCAATTTAAAAAAAGAAAACTCACGACATCCCCGGCTGATTATAATTTGAATTTAATTTTCCTAATTGTAGTCAGTACGCTAATTAATGAAACCTAATAAGTTTGTTAATTAAATCTTGTATTCAGATTACTGAGCGTTGTTTGCTTCTATATCAACGTTAAATTGTCTCTGAGTGAAAATTATTTTACCCTATATATATATGTGTAATAATTTTAATAGTAATTAAATAAAACTTTCATGGAAAAATATAGATACAAGACGTCAAAAGTTTTATATTATAGTACACTATAAAGAGTATTGAAATAAGTTGCAAAGGAAGTTAATCCAAGTATAAATTGAAAGCACGCGCGTTTAAATAAAAGAATTATATTGTGAGAAGGCCAAAGCGACATTATCACAAGTTGGGTCGGTTTTCTTGCGCGAATGCATAATTAATTTCCATTTGATAGATTAATGGTCCTCGCTCTCTTTCAACTTACACTTCAATAATGTTGCGGGAAAAAAAAAAATTAAATCTTTATTTTTTTGAAAAAAGGAATTCGAATATTGATACTTTCTGTTTGTCGATAAAATATACAATTAAGTGAATTGATGAATTTATTTATTAACAATATAATGTTGTATATACCAAAGTAAAATTGTATCGAATAAAAATATTCGATATACGAAAAAATTGGAAATAGAATTCAAATGAAAAAAATTTGTTATCCGTTGAATATTTTATTGATTTTATTCATTGTTAATAGAATAAAAAATACGAAAAGGAGCGAAAAGATAAAAAATGGAATAGAATTTTTAAAAATTAATTAATTTAATAATTTATGAATTAATCAATTTTTAAATTTAAAATTTAAAATTTTAATGTTTAAATTTTAAAATAAAAAATACGAAAAAACATCGAAATGGAGCAAAAGATGGAAAAGAATTTTTAGAAATAATTAATTTAATAAATTAATTAACTAATTAATTTCATACATTAATAAACTAATTTCATAATTAGTTAATTAATAACTAAATTTAATATCGTTAAAAAAACAAATAACGAAAATAGAAAGAGTATAGAAAAATATCAGTTATATTTGCTTCAGAAAAAAGAGAAAAAACCGAGCAACGACAAAAAAAGAGAATTAAAATCGTAAATTTTCAAAACGGCCAGAATAACCAAAATTCAATTTCCTTTTTTAATTATTAAATTCAATTTCAGTAGTTAATTATTTTGGATGCAAATGTGGTACTTACGCGGAAAGTCTGCTGGTAGCGTGTCTCTCACGTTCTAAAACAAGCAAAAGAGAAACAATTAGCTATTTATAAATGGAGATAAATCTTGGAGAAAATTTACATCTGACAAAGCAATAAAAATTCAAACTCGTTTCATTTTTTTTCACTCTAAAGAAATTCCTGTCAATATATTGTTTTTTTTTTTTGTTGGTGTTGAATATTTTAACAATGTCGATTATTATCACTAATAATTTATTACCTATTTATTATAATTTATTTTTATAAATAAATAATAATAATTTATTTAATTAATTAATAATAACAATAATAACAATATTTATTTATTTATTTATTTAATTAATTAATAATAATAATAATATTTTAAATTCAATTCCCAGCAGTGTTAATAATCCCCATTTTTTAATATAGTCTTAATTTTCTAAATAATAAAATTTACAATAAATGAACAATACAATTTTATTTTTTTTATTTATTATATTTATTCTATTATTTATTTCTTGATAATATTGTCAATAATAATCAAGAAAAATTGTCAATTATTTTTAACGTCGCATTGTTTATTATTTATTATTATTTATATTAACGTCGTAAATAACTTTTTTTAACGCTTTGAGGAAAAAACATATTTTTCACACGAAAAACAATAACAATTTTTTTGTTTACAAATTTATTTGTTTGTTTAAAATATCTATTTGGATTATTCTTGAAAAAAATACTTTTGTTATCATAGAAAAAACATTTTTTTCCCCTAATTTATTTCAAGAAAATCAATAACAATAAGTGAAGCAACGTATATATATATATATAAGGAAATTTGTAATATTTTTAATATTGTTGATTTAATGTTTTTTTGTAACAAAATTAATTGTTAATTTAATAATCTATAATATTTAGTTTAGATGTAATTTTATTTCATAATCATCATTCATAATCTTGAAATATAAAATAATTGTTTATTACAAAAATTATTGCACTGAAAGTAAATTTTTAATTTTTTTGAGAGATTTTTATGAAAAGCGAAAAATTAGTCGCATAATTTAGATCTAGGTAGTAAGAACTGAGATAATCTATATCTGAATACTACAAGTTTATATAATCCAGATCTATAGATATAGTCGAAATCTAGATAATGTATATCCACTTGTTCTAAATTTAGATAATCTAGATAGAGATAATAAAGATTTAGATAAAAATATAGATGATGAAAAGTTAGACAATCTAGACAAAGACAACTAAAATTTGAATAATCTAGATCTAGATTACTATCTATTATTATCCATTACTATCTATTACTATCTAGATAACTAAAATTGAGATAATCTATATATAGATCGGGTTTTTATTTTTTTATATAGTCAAAACTAGATAATCTAGATCTAGATGACGCTTTTATAGACAATATAGACCATTACAGATCCCAAACTGGACCAGAGATAGTTATCCAAATTATCCAAAGTGTTCCGTTCGCAAACTGCTAAATAAATACCCGATTCCGAAGAGGGGCAACGACCAGTAAATAACTAATTATAAACAATGAGGCGAAACACATATTCAGTGTTGGTACAGGAAAACAGTGTTATAGAAATATATACCAACGCAAATTAGTCGAAAATTGTTCAGCGAATCGTCGAATCGATTGACGACCCCCAAGATGGTAGTAGTAATAGTAGTAGTAGTAGTCGTAGTCTAAACCGAGTCAAGGTGTAATTAAGCTAAAATCGGATCGATAGTTTGAAGCCAGAGCTTTTAGTTGCTTAATAGCTTCGGGTATAATTGGATAACAATGAAATATCCACACACAGGGTACATATATAGTGTGTAATATGTTTTTGCGATTATATAGCATTTCACGGTAGTGGTAGTACGGTGTTTCAACTGCTGCTGCTGCTGCTGGTTTGAAGAGCAAGCACGCAATAGCAGCCAATCCATTTGACTTACAACCTTGACCACATTACGCATTCCCTTCCTTTTTAATCGACAACCTAAACACGTTCGGTTTTCCTACATTATCTCTCTCTCTCCACATCGAACAACATAAATCCATTTTTACGTTATACGAATTTTTTTTTGTCCATTTTTCTTTTTCTATTTTATTTACCACCAGTGGTTTTGGTTATTTTTTCTATTTTATTTACAGTATTTTTTGTTTCTTGTTTCATTCCTTTGCTTTCTTTATGCTATTACTATACTATTACTACTATCACTACTATTTCTACTATTTCTACTGTTACTATACTATTACTACTATTACTATTATTTCTACTCTCACTATTATTACTATACTATCACTACTATTTCTACTGTCACTATTATTACCATAACTACAGTATTATAACTATTACTATAATATTATTACTGTTACTATACTATTACTATATTATTACTATGCTGTTACTATACTATTGCTAAACTATTACAATACTATTACTGCTAATACTACTATTACTAATATTACTAAACTATTACTACTATCACTATTATTACTATAATTACTATAATGTTGCTAGACTTTTGCTATACTATTACTATACTGTTACCATACTGTTTTTATATTATTACTACACTATACTATACTATAATATTACTATACTATACTATTACTACTATCACTACTATCACTATTATTACTATTATTACTAAGATACTGTTACTAGACTATTGCTATACTATTACTACACTATTGCTATTTTTTTTTTTTTTTTTTTTTTCTATTTTTAGGAGTGATTATACAGAGTAAAAAAAATTATATTGAATTTTACTTAAATAATTTCATAGAATTAGAGCTAAATTAAATTTTTGTTTTTGAATTTCGCGCCTAAAAGTTCTTTAAATTCCCGCCTAGACGGCGTGAAAATTCTGTCACAAACGAGATGAAGTAAATTGCAGAACATGAAATTTTCTACAATGAGACTTATAAAATCTATTAAAAATAGTTCTAGTAAAAAATAAATAATAAAATAATAATAAAAATAAATAAATAAAAATATAATTCTATAAAATCTGGTAAAAAATAATTAGATAATAATTATAATATTATTAAAAGTAAAAATAATAGTAAATAAAAAAAAATGTTTTCTACAGAAATTAGTAAAAAAATAAGTAATAAAATAATAATCTCAGTTTGAGATTTGATATCTGCAATATTGATAATAATAGTAATAAAAAATTAATATTAATATTAATAATAATAAAAGATTAATATTAATAAAAGATTAATAAATAATAAAAATAAGTAAATAAAAAAAAATCGAGTGTAGTAAATTGGAATATAACTAACGGGCGCAGGGAGTATAAACTATAAAATAGAATTGAAATGGAGAATTATTGTAGGAAAGTTTTAGCTGTACCGAAAAAAAAATATATGAAGCGATATATTCCCTCTTGAAAAGGTTTTAGTGATATATAAAGCGGCTCTACAATGTCGATCAAGTTGTAAGGTTTGGAGTCGCCCCGAGAATACAATGACCCACGATGAAAAATAAGAGAGGGGATCCGGTAGCTATGAGTAACTCGTGCCAGTGGTTATTGCGTAAGCAATAGAACATTATAACGTGCAATATACACATGCACGCAAATCATGGGAAACAGAGTCCGAGAGAGAGTCAATTGTCTATTACTCTCTTTCTCTCTCTTTTCTTTTTCTGTCTCTCTCTCTCTTTTTTTTCTTTTTCTGTCTCTCTTCATCATTCTATTTCATTTCTCTTTGTCTCTCTTTATCTCTCTCTCTTTTTTTCTCTTTCTATCTCTCTCTTTTCTCTTTCTATTTTCATTCTCGAGAATGGTTCGAGAAAAGGAAGAAAGAATTATCTGTCTTTTTCTCTTTCTTCTTCTTCTTCTATTTGTCGTTATTTTCTTTTATTAACTAGAAAGGAACAGAAAAGAGAAGAAGAAAGAATTCTATCTCTTTCTTCTTTCTTTCTCTTCTATTTCCATTTGAGGCTATTTTTGTTAGAAAAGGGAAGAAACTGAAAAAAGAAGAAGAAAAATTCTTTGTCTCTTTCTTCTCCTCTTTCTAGTTGCGATTACTTCCTGCATACAACGAGAAAGAAACAGAAAAGAGAAGAAGAAAGAAGCAAAAAAGTGAAGAAAAAGACAGAGAAGAAAAGAAGAAAAAGCAAAAAAGAGAAGAAAAAACTGAAAAGAGAAAAATACAAGAAGAGAAGAAAGAAAGAGGAAGAGGAAAAAATACAGAGAAGAAAATATAGAAAGAGAAGAAAATACAGAAAAAAGAAGAAATACTGAAAGAGAAGAAAATACAGAAAAAGAAGAAAATACAGAAAAGAGAAGTAATACATAAAAGAGAAGAAATACAGAAAGAGAAGAAAATACAGAAAGAGAAAAGAAAGAAATACAGAAAAGAAATAAGAAAAGAAAATACAGAAAGAGAAGAAAATACAGAAAAAGTAGAAAATACAGAAAAGAGAAGAAAATACAAAAATGCGAAAAATACACAAGGAGAAGAAAATACAGAAGAGAAAAAAATACAGAAAGAGAAGAAAATACAAAAATGCGAAAAATACAGAGAGAGAAGAAAGAGACAGAGAAGAAAGAAGAAAAAAACCAGAAATGGAAGAAGAAAGAAAGAGAAAAGCAGAAAGAAAGAAAAGAGAAGAAAAAGGTGTGTGAGAGAACCCGAAGCCTACACAAAATCTTCTCCTTAACTTGATTTAACCCATCGGAAGTAAGTCAGTTTTGCCCTTTCAATGTTTCCTGACGTTAATAATTTATTTCGAAAGAAGTAGTCGCAACTAGTTTGAGAACTCGCTTCGGTGTTAATCCTCCGGTTATTGATTACTTTGCCACATTGCTGGGTTGCCTGGCATGAGAAGGGATCGACGATGGACTCGTGTCAGGGTGTAGTGAAACGTGACGAGGCACAAAAAGGGGAAGTCCATTTTAAAACGCTTCTCTTCTCCCTCCCTTTCTCCCTCTTATTCTTCTTCAGCGAAATTCATAATAAAAATTCATTTTCACGCTATAGTTTCCATTTTTTTTCTCCTCAATAATCTTACACTTGTTCTGTATTATTATTAT